CATGGTAATCGATGCACTTTTTGGTCCAGCCGTTCGCGTGCGTCCAGGTGGTTGCCGGCAGCTCCGCGTCATCCATGAAGGTTGGCGGTGTCATCCATCCCTCGTCGAGCATGGTGTCGTGCAATGCTCATCCTCCTGGCGGTTCCATTTCTCGACGTCTCGGTCCGACCGCTGCTGTCGTGATGTTGCCTAGTGCCTCGTTGGCGTCGGCCAGCGGAATGTTTGGCCTGGAACGATCTTTTCACTGTTTGATGAGCTCATGTGTCATTTTCCACCATGCTGATCGCGTAGCTGCTGATCTCCGCTGGTGAGGTCCATGTGCAATTGAGATTTGTGCTTGAAGCCCTTCCGCGGTGACATTCACGTTGAGCCTGGAGTGGCCGTAGGCGCGGACGGCGAACTCGTTCTGCTTGAAGAATAAGGGGGTTCCGTCCGCGAATTGGGCGTAAGGTTCGGTAATGTTTACACAAAGCTGGCAACCTCCATTGCCATGTTTGATGGCTGTACTGATGGTGTCAAACGTCGGGGCTCCTGCTATGCTGACAGTTGCCGTCGATTTGTCTCTCATTCTAGCTCCTTGGGTCCGATGATCTGATCTTGCTCCTTTGTCTACAGCTCCGCCAGGCACGTAGGTTTCGCTGTTTGCTGCATTGTGGGGCCGCGTTGGCGGAGCCGAACTTGATGCACGTAGTGATTTTGTCGGTAGCCCTGGGCGTCGCCACGCTCTGCTTCGTAATGGTGCTCGCGTAGGTGTCGGCGACCACGCTGTCTCTCCTGTTATCTGTCTCATTGGGTGCAACATGTCCGTCCACGATGCGAGGGTGTTGCGCGAGCGTCTTTGGGTCCGCTGTTTGCAACCATGCTCAATCGAGGTCTTCCACAGCCGCCAGGAGGTCATTGGGAGTTGGAGGTATTGGGAGTTGGAGGTCGCTGACAATGTCCCCTGTGAAAGCGTGCCCTCCTAGAGTACCCATTCCATGGGTGCCGCAAGTGCGTAGACCTAAGCGAATCCGCCTGTGCAGAGCTTCGCCAAGACGAGTATCGCCCACGCTGCTGGTTGCTTCCACTTACCTCCTGGACTGCCTTCGTAGATGTGACAGGCGCTGGTTTCGTCGGGGCTGTACGGTTTGAGCTGCTGCATGGTCGTCTTGGTGTGTTCGGTGCATGACCAGGAAGCGGAGGGTGAGGAGAAAAGGATGAGGAGGATGAGGGGGAAGGATGGTGATGTTGTTGATGCTGATGATGATGGTGGTGGTGGTAATGATGATGATGATGGTGCTGATGATGACGATGATGATGGTGATGCCGCCGATTATTTTGATGCTGATGGTGATGATGCTGGTGCTGAGGGTGCGGATGGTGATGATAATGTTGCTCATGATGAGGATGATGCTGATGGCGATGCCGATTATAGTGATGATGCTGATGAAGCTGATGCTGGCGACGATGACGACGATGACGACGGTGATGATGATGAAGATGCGGAAGATGCTGATGCTGATAATGATGATGACGACGAACATGATGATGCTGATGCTGATGCTGATGCTGATGGTGATTGTGCTGATGCTGATACTGATGACGATAATGATGGTGCTGATGATGATGCTGATGACGACGACGATCATGATGATGATGCTGATGCTGCTGCTGTTGATGATGGTGATGATGGTGATGCTGATACTGATTATGGTCAGTATTCTCATTATGACGATCATTTGATGATGTTGTTGATGATGATGAATCTGATGATGTTGGTGATGATGATTATGATGATGGTGGTGGTGATGATGCTGATAGTGGTGGTGGTGGTGGTGGTGCTGGTGGTGGCAGTGATGATGCTGATGATGATGCTGATGCTGATAATGCTGATGCTGCTGATGACGATGATGACGGCGGTGGTGGTGGTGATGATGATGATGTTGCTGATGATGATGATGCTGATGATGATGATGCTGTTGCTGTTGCTGTTGCTGCTGCTGCTGATGATGATGATGATGATGATGATGATGATGATGATGATGATGATGATGATGACGGTGGTGGTGATGATGAGGATGAGGACAATGAGGATGTGGATGAGGAGGATCAGGATGATGATGATGAGGAGGAGGAATAATACGAGGATGCTGGGGAGGAGGGGAAGGGGGATCAGAAGATGAGGAAGTTCTCTTGGAGGAGGAGGAGGATGGCGGATGGGATGAGATAAGGAGGAGGGGCAGGAGGTTTCGGTGGTGGAGCCGTTGGGGATTTACATGCCCCCGTCGCTGCCTTCGGGTTCCTCCCCGCTTTCGGTGGGGGGAAGTGGGTCGAGTCAGCGGGGTCCCCATTCAAGATTGGCATCAGCCGTAGGCGCTTGGGGCCTGACCCACCGAATTGGATCACGGCTCCCGCGCATCTCTGCAACATACTTGGGGAGAAAAGGTGGGACGGGGGGGGAGGGGGAGGAGCAGGAGAGAAGCTCCCCGATCGTCTCAAGGCTTGGAGGGGGCACTTGCCGCAAGCCCGCGACACTCGCCCATTCTCCCCTGGTCGTTCCTGACCAGGCCCAGCTGCACGTGGCGGGGGGCTGAGCGTGACAGCACGCGGTTGCCCATTCGGTGCGTCCCCGCCACGGGGGGTGGGGCATCCAGAGAGGGTTTTGAAGTGCCCTGCCCACTACGTGAGCCCTGGAACGTCACTGTGGCCACTGCTGCCTCGGCTGGCGGCCGCGGTCGACCCCGACCGTCCGTGAACCGCCGGCCAGAAGAGAAGGGAAGAGGAGCAGTGGGGTTCTATCCAGGCAGGCCTGGGGCAATTACATTCGTCGCTCCAGCGCGTTCTGGCACTCATTCCGAGTGTGCCGGGGCGCTCTGGAACGACCCGCTGTCCAGCTCTCAGAAATTTTCGCTTTATCTCTTTTCGATGCTATCTTCGTCCTTGCTTTGTCTCGTATGCGGTGAGGAGCTTTGCCTTAGCATGTCTCGCCACCGATTCTGGCCCTCCATGCTTCGGCGCGACACGCTATCCACGTCCCAGTCCGCGAGCGTGAACGTCCCGAGCGTTCCTTGGCCTCCTGCCCCGCGGAGCGGAGCGGCATGCTGTCCGCTCGCAGGGCGCAGCGTGTCGCCAGGGCCACCGCCGCGACACGCCAAGCTCTGGAAGCAGGAAAGGGGTGTGGCATCGAGGGGTATGGTGCCAATCGTGGAAATGGCGATGCTGTCTGCTGTCCTACCTTCCTATACCTACCTCCAGAGAAGCACACGTTTCTGACCGCACTTGTCCGCAGGACAGCGCAGCGGGCGTGCTCGGACGCGGCGCGCGGGCGCGACTGCGGCCCTCCGCGCGTTCCGGCGCGGCCCGAGTCCTCGGTGGCTGGCGGCGCAGACGCCTCCCGCGCGTGCGCGGCCGCCGTGGCGGCGGCGGAGATCGGGGGCGCCCGGGTGTCGCGGGGAGACCGTGGCGGGCCTCTTGGCCCCGATTTCTGGCCCCGATGCTCTCGCGGCTCTGGCGGATCGGTCCAGCTCGAGGGATCCCGCGCGGAGATGGGCTCGGGAGCTCCTGCCGTGCCTTGCTGTTATTTGTTTTGTTTGCTGCGTCGTAGTTTCGTGCGTGTGTGTGTGTGTGTGTGTGTTTGTGTGTGTGTTTTTCCCACGCGGCATCGGACGTCGGGGGCGCCGACTTCCCATGTACTTAACCTGATCTTGGCCAGGGTCGGTGCGCACCCCCTCAGTGGCACCTGGCCACAAGGGCGCATCCATTGCCTCTCTTGCCCCAGGATGGGCCTTGCCAGGATCAGTGGTTGGTGAATTAGCTGGCGCCCTCCCAGGAGAAGGGCCGGCGGTGGGATGAGGCCATGCGGATGTTCTGGCAGTTCCAGCGCAGCGGCTCGGAGCCTGACGAGGCGCTGCTCACCGCCGCGGTGCGGGCGGCGCAGCGCGGCGGGCTCTGGGAGCAGTCGCTGGGCCTGTACCTCGGGGCGCCGCGGGCGCTCCCGACTGCGGCCTTCGGTGCCGCCGTGCTGGCGTGCTCGGAGGCGAGGGAGTGGGAGCGGGCGCTGCGGCTCCTCGACGGCCTCCCGCAGCGGCTCGGCGGCCCAGAGCTGGACCAGCCGGCCAAGTCGGCGCTGAGGGCTTACAGCACGCTCCTCATGGAGTGTGAGCAGGGGGGCCTGACGGAGCACGAGATGACCCTGTTGCGGCGGCTTGGCAGCGCCGGGGGAGATCGGGCGGGGCTGGGACAAGGACGGACCCGTTCCAGAGCGTTCCAGAGCGTTCCCATATAGAGCGCTCCGGAGCGCTGCGAGGAGGCCGTGGCGCCCCATAGATCCTCCAGAGCCGCCGGAGCTCAGAAGATTGCCGGCCTGTCCTCGGCCGAAGTGGTCCTCGTCCTGACTTCGTCTCAGGAGACCTCCCGGCCTCCGCGCCCACGCTGCGCGCCGCGGCCTCCTGCGCCGCCGCCGTGCGCCTGCTGGAGCTCGGCCGTGCGGCGGAGGCCGCCGCCGCCCTGCGCGCCACGGCGGTTGGCCCGGGCGGGGGGCCGGTGGCAGCGCTGCTGCTCGAGCTGTGCGGGCAGCCGCCGGGGCCGAGGGCGCAGCTCGCCCCGCGCCCCGCGCTCGTGATGCCGGCCCGGGCGCCGTACGCGAAGGAGCTGGCCCTGCTGCAGCACGTGCTCGCCACGGCCACGCGGGGGGACCCCGCGTCCGTGTGCGCCGCCATGCAGCGCTTCGGCGAGGACACGCTGGCGCTGAGCCGGCGCTGGCTCAAGATCGTGGCGGGCGAGAAGGCGGGCGTCGTCGCCTCCGCCTTGCGGCGCGCCCCCGCCGGCGAGGTCGAGGTCCTCGAGATCGGTGCGTATTGCGGCTTCTCCGCGGTGCTGATGGCGCGGGAGAGGCCAAGCGCCCGTGTCACGTCGCTGGAGCTGGACCCGGTGCACGTGGTCATCGCCAGGAACGTCATCGCCTGGGCCGGGCTCACAGGCGCGGTGCGCGTTGTGACGGGCCACAGCCGGCACCTGCTGCCGCGGCTGGCCCGGGCGCGGGAGGCGAGCGGCCGCCCGCCCTTCTCGTTCGTGTTCATGGACCAGAGGGGCTCCCGATACCACGAGGACCTGGAGCTGCTGGAGCGCCACGGGCTGGTGCGCCCCGGGACCGTGGTGCTGGCGGACAACGTGCTGAAGCCTGGGGCGCCGCTGTTCCTGTGGCGCGTCACGCAGGGCAGGGCGTACTCCACGACCATTGTCAGCGTCACCGAGTTCGCCATGCCTGCCGAGGACTGGATGTCCATCAGCACGCGCACGGACCACCCAGACGCCACGTGCGCCGAGCCCCCCGCGGAGCTGCGCCTCCTCGACGCCGAGTGTGACCGCACCCGCGACCGCGCGTCCAACGCGGACGGCGGCGTGCCCTTTGCCGACTGGCGCGCCGCCGCCAGACGCCTGCGCAGCGCGCTGCTTCGAGCTGGCATATCCGCGCAGGCGCAGGCGCCCGCCAACTACTTGGTGCCCGAGTGGCTGCGCGGCCAGAGCCAGTGCGAGGGCAGTGCGGGCGGCTGGGCGGGCGCGCTGCGCTTGCTGAGCGCCTCCCTGGCCTCGTCCGAGCTGGACGTGGGCTCCTGGAAGGCGGTGATCAGCGCATGCGCGCAGTCGGGGCAGTGGGCCGTGGTCCTGGACCTCCTGCGGTCCATGCAGGCCCACCGAGCAGAGCCAGACAGCTTCGCGCTCACCACCGCGATGGGCGCGTGCGCCCGGGGAACGGCGTGGGCAGAGTCCCTGCGGCTCATGGGCGAGATGGCCGCGCCCGACGCGCCCGCGTTTGGGGCCGCAATCGCTGCGTGCGCAAGGGGCCAGCAGGCCGGTCGCGCCCTGAGGCTGCTCGAGAGAATGCGGCGTCGGCGGCTTGATCCCGACGCGCAGGCCTTCGGGGCCGCCATGGACGCTTGCGAGAGCGCTGGCAAGCATGTCGCGGTGCTCAAGCTCTTCGACGAGATGCGCTCGCGGCGGCTCGCTCCCTTGCCGGGCTCCTTCCACATGGCAATCGGCGCCTGCACCCAGCGCAAGCATCGCGGGCGGGTGCCAGAGCTCCTCCAGCTGATGGGGGAGCTCTCGGTCGGCCCGGGGCTGCACGCCTACCGCGTTGCGATCGGCGCCAGCCCCGCGCGCGCCCTGGAGCTGCTGGCCGAGGCGAGACGGCAAGGCCTCTCCCCGGACGTCGTCACCTACAACGCCGCCGTGGCTGCGGCTGCCCGGCGCGGGCGCACGCAGGATGCCCTCGGCCTGCTGCGTGGCATGGCCGCGTTGGGCGCGGCGCCCGACCGCGTCACGTACAACGCCGCCATACATGCCTGCGAGAGGGCCGGCGACGCGGCCGCCGCCCTAGGCTCGCAGAGGACAAAGCGGCATTGGAGGTCCGCGCGGATGTCCTGGATCGGCGCTGGGCCCTCCTGGCGGCGCCTCTGGCGCCGCCCCTGGCGCGCTCCGCGCGCCAGGGAAGGGGTCCAGTCCAGCGCGGGTCTACGAATCCGCGCGGACCTCCGACAGCTTCTGTTTCTGTCGCTTTGTCGTCCTCTATAGACCTCCTCGCCGAGATGCGAGGCCTGGGCCTGGCCCCCGATGCCGCCAGCTACGGCGCTGCGGCGGGTGCGTGCGCGCGGGCCCGCTCGTGGGGCGAGGCGGCGGCAGACGCAGCCCCGCGGCTGCTGTCCGAGATGCGCGGTGGGGAGCTGCTGCCCGACGCAATCACCTACTCCGCGATGATCCGCGCGTGCGGATCTCCAGAGGATGCCACGGCGTTGCTCGGCGACATGCGGGAGCGGCGGCTCGACCCGAACGTCATCGCCTACAGCTCGGCCATGAGCTCGTGCTGGCGGGGCGGCCAGCCCTGGCGCGTGCCCGCCATCCTGGAGGAGATGCGGCTGCGGCGCGTGGCGCTGGACCAGGCTGGCCAGGCCGCGGCGCTCGGTGGGAAGGAGGAGAGCGCCGATGCGCAGGCGGTGCTGCCGCTGCTGCGGGCGATGCGGGAGGAGCGGCTGGCGCCAGCGGTGGCCCCCGTCGCGCCGCGGAGGGGCCTCGGGGCGGGCCGCGGGAAAAGCTCGGGTCTCCTCGGGTCCCCACTCCCCGCCGGCGGGAACCGACGGCCTCCCAGGGGCAGGTGTGGTGTACAGCCCTCCAGGTGCCAGGGGGCGGACTTGTCGGGCGGAACCGGGCCCCCAGCGAATCAGAGGTGGGTGTTGTGAAATATTCTGGCTCCAGTCTTTGTTTTGTTGTCATGCAGTGGCGGCTCGCGTTTCTCGTCGCGTTGCGGGGTGCTCTCTGTGATGCCGCGGCGCTTGGCCTGGTACTGACTCAGCTGGGCCCTTTCGTTGCGAGAGCCATGCTGGCGCGACTCGGGCACTCGCGGGGGCGTCTCTCGAGGCCGCGTCGATGCTCATTCGGACGTTCAGCATGCCATCCTGGAAGCCATCGGCCGACATTTGGCGCGTGGAGTGGGCTTCCCATCGGAACAGTGAAAGCTGCCAGGAGTAGGTTGCAGGGGTGCGTTTCGACCAATGCCCCAAGAGAAATGGGCCCTTGACTCGACGGCATGTTTATGCGGCCCACAAGTCCTGGGCTCTTCCTTCTGGGGCCCAGGAAGTCCCGCTTCCTTCGCTGTGGGGCCCCAGAGTCGGCCCTTGACCCTGGGTGCCATGTCTAGCAGGGCCGTGACAGTGCGCCCCAGGAAGTCGCGCGCCTTGGAGTGAAGGTCCGCAGAGTCGGGGGTCCTTGGCCGAAGAACCCAGGAAGTTGCGACCCTTGGCTCGAGGGCCCTGGACTCGCGGGCCGCGGGACCCGGGCCGCGGGACCCACGGCCAGGCAGTCACCTGCGCGCGCCGGACAACCTCCCGAGAGGTGCCAGCGAAACGTTGCCGAAACGGCAGCGCATCGGCGGTTAATCAACCATTGTCTCGTTTTGAACCATACCTTTTCGATCCGGAAAGCGACCCGGGTGGCCACCATGACCATCGTCAAGACGTTCGGGTCGTTGAGGGGCAAGATTCGGAGGAGGTACGCGGCCGCAGGAGGCAGAAGCCGGGGGTGGGATTCGGCCACACGGGGAGCTTCCCGGCAGATTTCCAGGAGTTCGTCGGGAGTGTCGCAGGTGCCCAGCAGGAGCCTCCTCAGGGACCTCCCCGCAGCCTCTCAGGGGTTCCCAGGAGCTTCTGTACGAGCTGCCAGGGCGGCTCGCAGGAGCTCCACGGGGGCCTCTCCGAAGCCCTGCAGGAACCTCTCGGGGGCCTCTCACGGGGGTTCCGGGAGCTGTCGAGGGGCCCCGTGTGTCTTTTTCATTGTGTTTCCAGGGGCCTGGTTACCATGAGCCCATGGGCACACTTTCCGTGCCTTCGTACAACCCTACCACTCGCTTTTCATGAGTCTCGCAGGGTTCTCTCTCTGGAGCCTCATGGGAGCTTCACAGAAGCTTTTCAGGTACCTTTCAAGAACCTCACAGGAGTTTGTTCTCAGGGCCTTCTCAGGGTCCCGTCGGGGGCCCCTTGCGAGCCTCTCGTCGTTGTCATCGTATTCGTCGTAGTCGTCGTGGTCGTCGTGTTCGCCGTCGTGGTCGTCATCTTCGCGGTTCTTCCCTTGGTGTCCGCGCAAGGGGGTGATCCCGCACCTCTGGAGCATGGTCTTTCAATGGCGTGTGCGGTTCAGGTTTTTTTTTCAGGTGTGAAGAGGACCCTTCGTGAGGCCAGCTCATGTCGAGTACTCGCGCACCATGCCATTCCCTGGCAGGTCAACGGTGCGCCAGGGAGAACGGCGTCGACGTATATTTGTTTCGGATGGTGGTGGTGGTGGTGGTGGTGGTGGTGCTGCTGCTGCTGCTGCTTGCTTCTCCTCCTGCGCCTGCTCCTTACAAGCTGTACGCTGAGATTTGTGCGTGTTGTGTCTCTCGATGCATCGAGCGATTGAGCACTTGTGGTGATGCGCGCAAGAGAGCCGCAGCGACGCAATGCCAAACAGACCCAGGCTAAGAGAAGGAAGAAGTGCCCTCCGCCTCCTCCTCCTCCTCCTCTTCCCCCTCCCCCCCTGGAAAGACAAAACGGCGTGCTCCGCGGTCGGACAAACCTTCGGGCTCATGTGCTTTCCGAGCGCGGGGTTGTGCCGAAGGGCTGGCTCGCCACAGACAACACAAGTGCCAAGCCGGCCTTCGCCATGGCCCCTCGGCCGATCTCGTGCGCGTCTGCCCTGGGCCCTCGGGGAACCCGCCGGCCTGGGCGTCTTTGGGTTCCTTTTGGGGTGCCTGCGAGAGTTAGGCGAGTCGCCCCATTCGCTGGAGGCCCACCCCCTGGCTGTTCGCCCTTGCTGCAAGCCCCGACCCGCTTCGCCCCCCATTCCGTCGTCGTCGTCGACGACGTCGTCGTCGCCACGTTCCTCCGCCCCATCCACCGCTTCCTTTTTGTTCCTCCTCCAGTTCCTCCCCGTTCTCATCGTTTTTTTCTCATCCCCAGCTTCCTCCCCGTCTTCTCATGGTCTTCCTTCCGATACCCTCCTCCCCTTCCACTTACAGCCGTAGTCCAGTTCCCAGTTCCGCTTCCTCTTTGCCACCTCCGTTTGTTTTGCCCCCCTTGTTTTGATTTGGTTCCCGTACTCTATCTTTTTCGTCGGTCTCCTCCTTCTGCACCTCTCGTCCTCCTCCTCCTTCTCCTTCTCATCTTTCTCCTTCTCCTCCTCCTTCTCCTCCTCCTCCTCCCTCTCCTCTCTTCCCCTCCTTCTCCTCCTCCCTTTCCTGCTCTCTTCTCTTCCCTGCCTCCTCCTTGTCCTCCTCCTCCAAGTCCTCCTCCGCCTCCTCCTCTTTCTCCTCCTCCTTTTCTTTCTCCTCCTCCTCCTCCTCTTCCTCCTCCTCCTCCTCCTCCTCCCAATCTCCATCCGCCGTCCTCTGTCTCCTCTAGCCATTTTGGCTCAATGTTTTGGCTGGTCCGCGACTACATCCAATCTTTTCCCACCAGCTGGTCCACCCCAGTTGCTGGTTGCCTCCCGCGCCCGCGGGTGAGCATATCGATTTCCCCCCAGCTGCCTCGGGCGCTGGTACCGCCACGACGTCGTCATGGCGCCAGCCCCGTGGCACGTTCCTCAGAGTGAGGCGGGTCGGCTCCCTTTGGTCACTGTGCTTGCTGGGAGTGCTAATGCTGGCCATGCTCCTAAGGCACAGTCCAAGCGAACGTACAAATACTGCTCGATTGGGCATTGGACATGGGATGGTCCTTGCCCAAGCGAACGTCTTGCATCGGTTGCCTCACCACATGCTCACCTTCCCGCCAGGACGCGCTTGCTTTGTGGTTGGAGCCTAAGAGGGGAGATCGCCAGGCCCAAAAGAAGGTGGAGGAGATCGACGCAGTCTGCTAAGGAGTAAAGTTTTTCGGGTAGGATTCCCGAGAAGACCATCGGGGGAGGAACGGGGGATATTGGCGGGCGTGGTCCCCTCGGCCCTCTGCTCAAATCTTTCGACGATTCCATTGACTCCCTCCAATGGGCCAATGCTTCTGAGCATGTAGATGGAGCTGCCAGTACTGGCCCTGCCTCTTTGCAACACGCGTGGGCCTTGATTGCCGCTCTCGACAGAGAAGGCCGTCGTGATTTATCTACCGTGGTCAGTCTTCTAGCTGCTGGGGGCTACTGTAGTGAACAGCGTCGGCGCGACGCCCAGCTATAACCATATCCATTTTGCCACAGGTGCAAGCGTGACCGTGGGACTTCGGCCCATAGGTTCGGAGTTGTATGTGCAAAGCTGCTTCTGCCGACCCCTCGGTTAGTGAGTCGCAGCATCTCCGACATTCGACCCTCCAGGAGGCCGAGCAGGTTCCTTGTTTCTGGGTCCGTGGGCTGAGCTCGATTTCCTGGTTTGCACTGCCCCTGCTCCATGACCTAGGGAGCTTCATGAGGCGCCGTCTTCCAAGGGCCCTCTCCCCTGGATCCTTTTATACTTGGAGGTTTCTACGGCGCAGATGGCTCGTGGAGGCCAGTCTGCCAAGTGTCTTGTGCTCCGCAGGGTGGCCTTTTCCTTCGTGCGTTTCTTCACGCCTGGCCGTCTTGGACTCTGCGCGTCAGACCGTGCCAACGGTTGAGTTGGCAACAGTTGTTGGATGCGTTAGGTCTGTTGACCAAGACCTTCATATGGTCTCTGACCGTGCTAACCTGATTAAAACAAAATTCCACAGAGGCAAGGCTCCCTCGTCCAATCTTGTTAATTCTGACCTCTGGTGGGGGTTCCGAGTCCCTCTCGGGGAACTTTCTGGCTCTTTCCGGCTCCAGTTTTTTATTGCAGGACGCCCAGCAGCGCTCCAGGTTTGCTGACTCCGTTGGCTGGTGTCATGTGGTCCTCAACTCTGTTGCTGATGAGTTGACCGATTTTAGGGCGCCGGGTGCCAGGTGTCGGATGCGGTTGTGCGTGATAATAGCGACCTTACCCAGCAGGCCTGTTGCATTTTGAAGCGCAATGTTGCCATCATCCTCGGATGTGCGGCATTATGTTTTTGTGACGGGTGTGGCGCCGAGGGAGTAGTTCGCCCAAACGCTTTGTGGGATCCTTGCCTAGTTGCCACCATCGGCCCCCACGCCGTCACCAAACAGCAGCTTGAGGTACCGCAGCGGCTGGCCGAATGGCTGCCGCCGTCAAAAACTTCGTCCAGCTGGCCGATCTGATTTTTCTCCCCTGCCAGGCAATCCTTGCACTCCTTGCGTTCTGGAGTTTGGTTGGCAGCGGTGCACGGGAAAAGCGCGCTTTTCTTCCTACTCCTTCTTGTCCACCTCTTTCTACTATTCCCCCTTCTCCTCCATCGCCTCCTTCCTCGTCCTTGGCCAGATCTGCCTCCTCGTCGTGCTCTTTCCCGTCCTTCTTATCCCGATCACAATTATCCCTCATTGTCCTCCTCATCTCGTCCTCGTCATCATTTTTCCCTCTTCTCGATACCCTTCTTTTACTCTTCCTCGTTGTCCTCCCTCTTCGCTTCTCCTCTTTTTCTTCGACGTGGTATTGGCCGCTCCTGCAGCATGAGTTCCTCCTCCTTCTCCTCCTCCTCCTTCTCCTTCTCCTCCTTCTCCTCCTCCTCCTCCTCCTTCTTTTTCTCCTCCTCCTCCTCCTCCTCCTCCTCCTCCTCCTCCCTGACAGCGTCGGTTTGGGAAAGTCCTGTGGAAAGTCCTCCTCCTCCTCCTCCTCCTCCTCCTCCTCCTCCTCCCCCTGCTCCTCTTCCTCTTCCTCCCCCTTCGCCTCCTCCCCCCAAGAGGGACATGACGATAACGACGACGAGGGCGATGTTGACGAGGAGGGGCGAGGACCAGGGCAGAGACGACGACGAGGTCCAGGACGAGACTTCCTGCCCCCCCTGGTGGCGCGAGGTGCACCTACCTGCCGGAGCTGGGAGACCTGCTCGTGGAGGCGCCGGGTGATATTCCCTGCGACTCAATTCCTAGCAAAACGAGGATGATGATCGGGTCGGACGAAAGGGGGAGATTGCGGAGGGGTGGGTACGACATCTGTTACGTACCGCTGC